TGCCTGAGAGAAACCAGTCATCATACAATGCTCCTCATAAAAAGTATTGCTTATAAATTTTTTGTAAAAAAAAAAAAAGTCAAGCAAATATATTAGACATTCCAAAGCAAGCAATAACAGAATTCTCCCTATTCCACACAAAACTCTGATTTTATACTATGTGCCTCTGTTATATTGAAATGCTTTTTCCGAGGTGGCAGTCAAGTGCTTGCCATCTAATGTCAGATGGTTATAACACTCATAAATTTCTAGAGGCCTCCTGAGTGTGATTTTCTGTACATATTTTAGAACTAATACTACCACTGTCTCATATCTGAGAAGTACTCTCTCTCCACTATCACTTTTCAGTCTTTTAAATTCAGTTGTTTTTCTCAAAATCTAAATTTTATGTTACTCTCATTCAAATGTTTTGAAGCAGGAGAACTTTTTCACATTTTACACTAATTTCCTGTCACTGATGACCAGGCATTATTTTACAACTGCCTACAAGGCCTATCTTTTCCCCTGAGCTTTATTAAATGATAATTGACATATGACATTGTGTAAGTTTACGGTGTAAAACGTGTTGATAGGCCATACTGATATACCTGCAAAATGATTACCACCTCCGGCATCATCTCATCACAGAATTATCACATTTTTGTGATGAGAACATTTAAGATCTACTCTCCTAGCAACTTTTAAGAATATAATATAGTATTACTAACTCTAATCACTATGCTGTACATTAGAGAAGGAACAAGCAAAATAGGGCACAATTTTATATCCAAAGTAGATGTAAAACATTGTGTATTTTAGACAATCAAACCTATTCCAAGAATCCTAGAGAACTCACACTCATTCCATTTTGAACAAATGTGAGTAAATCCTGGTCACTGGAATTGTATACGCACTAAAAGAAAACTTTCTCAGTTCAGCTGTGCACTGAACTCTAATAATTATAGAGTAACGAGCAAAATTATGGTTAAGTACTTCAATTTTATTTTGATATCATTTGCATTATCGCCTCTTAATCCTAATTTCTCTCTATAAAAAATAATTTCTCACAATTTCACAAAGTCACAGTGACCATAAGATTTTCACTTTGAGACAATTTTCTCCACTACAGAGACTGATGGCAGGGTCATTAAACCCATGGTTACAAAGTTTAATGTGCCTCAGTGCCCCTGGAGGATTACAAATCACAGATACCCAGGCCTGTCGCACTGATATCCCACTTCCCTAGGCTAGGTGCCTGGGCTTTAAACAAGTGCCCAAGGGTTTTTCATAAAACAGAACATTGTTTACAGAGGAATTTTATTGTTTTGGAGCTCTATAATGCCTTTTTAAGCCTAAAAGCAGGTGTCAAGATCTTTACTCAGAGTAGCTGCCAAAAACAATTAAAACACTGTAGGGTGAGGAGATCACAATCAAATTTCAGAGCCATGGAAAAAAGATGCAACTGAACACACATTATCTGTGTGAATATCACATCCAACAATACCTGTGGTAATTGGACACTGCAATTCTGGATTATTCTTTATATGTTTTACAGTTACATTTACAGTTTAAAAACATAAAATGGACCCTTTAATCTAGAAAGCTCATTCAAAAAAATTTAAATAATCATATACTTTTAAGTATTTCTGGACAAATAAAAAATAATTTAAAGCTATTTCGGTCTATGGTACATTATACTCTCTAGCACTTTTCAACTTGAAAGCAATTTAATCTGCATCATATAAAAGTATCTAAAAATTTACTTCGCTTACTATTTAAAACATTTTTCCTAGGTTGAAAGATTTTTTTAACTTGTGTAAGAAATATAAAAGACTCCAGAAAATATATTCATCATCAAATTTTATAAAATACTCTACAAAATATATTCATCATCAAATTTGTGCAAGAAAACAAAATCTAAAACACAATTTATGAAATAACATTAATATGCAACAATTTTAGAAGATCGGTTTGCCTTATCCTTGGTTTTTGTTTGTGATGTAATAGTTAATTGTATTAAAAAAGAGTGTATTATTTTAAGTTACTGAGTAAGAAATTACCCCAAAGATCTAACAAGATTATCAAAGACCTTAACCTAATTGATCTTCATAGAACACTGAATCCAACAATTGTAGGGTATACATTATTTTCAAGTATACATGAAACATCCATCAAAAATCCCATTTACGGGGCATAAATTTCGATACATTTTAGAATATTTTTTCTAATCATACTGTCCACATCTTCATTTCAGATTTTACCTACTTACCATGCAGACTCTGTTGTAGAGTGTGTTTGCTGAAGGAGGGCAGGGGGGAGTGGGTACAGGGAAGAATGGTGAGAAAGTATAGCCTGTATTTTGTAAACCTATAATACATTACTGTATGGTGCTAAATGTAATGAGTCCATTCAGCACCGTGTTCCCAGAAGCACTCGTCACAGTCCCACCAAACTTATTCATACAACTCAACATTCACAGTGGGTTGTTCCAAGCAATATAACAGAGCTGGGCACACCTAAGAGGCCATCTTATACACTGGCTCTCATTCCCTTTATTGAAGGGCAGTAAGTCAATATGTAAAGTAGGATGGCACCAACTTGAGGGAAAGCTATGTCTGTGCACCATCAAAAAGGAAACACAGATGGACAGAAACAAGTGCTCATCACAGCTGCTCAGAGTGCAGATGCCAACAATGCAAGTGCACAAGCACCAACTCAGCTGTCTCCATAGTAACCAGAGTACCAAAACAAGTATAATAAGAGAACACCCAGATACATAAAACAAAATATACACAGGTATATTAGCATATACAAATAAAGATTTGGATGACTACCATATGTTAAGGTTAACAGACATGAAAATTATTTATAATCAACTCAAGGACAGAAAGCAGACTACTATTCACTCCTTTTGCTTTAAAACAAAAAGTATGTGTGTATCTGTATCTGAAGAAAAAGAATGGTCAGGATGCAAAGGCCACTCAAATCCAACAGTGATGAACTCTGAGCAACAATGGGCTTACAGGTGATTACTTCCTTCTTTATACATTTATTTTTCCTCATAAGTAGCTATATAATTTTTATAGAAGAAAAAATCCAAGAAAGCAATGAGGGAAGGAATGGGAGGGGAGGAGGGGAGGAGAATAAGGGAAGTCACGGGAAGGAAATAGGGGAGGGGAGGGGAGGGGAGGGGGAAGGAAGAGAAGGAGAAAGGGAAAGGGAAAGGGAAAGGGAAAGGGAAAGGGAAAGAGAAAGGGAAAGGGAAAGAGAAGGAAAAAGAAAGAGCCCTTGCTGGTATGGCTCAGTGGATTGAGTGCTGGCCTGCAAACCAAAAAGTTGCTAGTTTGATCCCTGGTTAGGGCACATGTCTAGATTGCCAGCCAGGTCCCCAGTTGGGGGCTTGCGAGAGGCAACCAACTATTTCTCTCACACATCAATATTTGTCTCCCTCTCTTTCTCCCTCCCTTCCCGTCTTTCTAAAAATAAATAAAATCTTTTAAAACAAAGATCGAAAAAGGAAGAAAGTAATGAAAGATTGATACAATATTAGTTCATCCCTTATTATTATATATATGGCTTTTTAAAACTCCATAAATGTCCATAGTTGCTTTAAGCTTTTGGAGGGAACCACCCAATAAAATCAGTGTAATTTAAATGTCTCGATGGTACTCTTCATGTGGTTTGCAGGAAAAGAATTTGAGAGTCCCCTACTCTTGGCTCACTGAAAACCTCAAAACAGATAAACAGCACCAAGAGAAATAGCAACATATCATAAATGGGCAGAAAAGGTCTGCATTTTTGACCCAAGGTGCTCCTGGCCCACAGTAGCTACAAAAGACAAAACCCACCATAGCAGGTGCTAGTGAATCATATAGCCTTTAAAGTACATAATATTTGCTACCTGAAAATTTTCATTTTTTAAGATTTCAAGGAAACATAAAAGACATGCACCAGTTCTAAGGTAGGAACCATGCAAGCATAGGAGTAAACAAAACACAACAGCTGTGCTCACCAAAAGGCGAGCGGATGACAGATGAGGCAAAGTCTGGTAATGAGAGAGAGCCCCAGCAGGACCAGGCCCAGGTGAATTTACCATCCTCCAACCCAAGGCTGTAACCGCACTGGTTTAACCTACGTTGCACTATCACAAAGTCATGATGATACAACTGCACACGCAGTTGAGCCCTTCTATAGTTTTGTTAGAAGTCAACACGGAAGAGAGTGTGGCCAAAGCCTGCTCAAGTCTCATCACCTCATTACAATAAAGAATTTGCTGACTTCTACATGCAGAGACTAATATCCTCTCACAAATTCTTAAAAGGTTGAGAGTCATTATTCCTCCCCCTCCTTCCCTCAAAGAGAGCAGACAAAAGAGTATAAGCAAACAATGAAATGCCCATGAGCGGCCACATTCACAATGTCAAAATCATCAGCTGCATTTAAGCAGGCATTCCAGTAAAAGCCCCCAAACAGCATGGAGGAAAAGATGGCTTTCCAAGAGCCCAGGACACAGGGAGCTGCCAGGATGCACACTGGTTTAGTAGCCAGGAGGGGCATCACACAGGCCAGCTGCTGTGATGGGCGAAAGTGGGAATCAGAACACTTTTCCCACTTTTTCGCATACGGCACATCAAAACACTTAATGATCATAATGATGAACCTGAATTGTCAGGTAAAGATGTTATGCTTGGTTAAAATAAAAGGGGAAATGGCAAAACAAAAAACAAAACCAAAAAAAAACCTTTTAAAAATACATCCATTTAAAAAGTTGCAATTCTAAAATTCCAAAATTTAGCACTAAGTCCCAAGTACCAAGGAAAGAAAGCATTTATACCATAGGTTTCAGGGCAATGAAGATTCATAATACCTACTATAAAATATACATACCAGAGTAAGTGGCCTGAATGTTCTTTAAGGTACGTGTGGTCTAAAACAGGAAGGAAAAGTATTCCCACCTACCCACTCCCTACCCAGTCTTCACAAGAGACAGTCAGAGCAGCTCCCCCTGGACTTGAACTCACTCTGTCTTTATCATCTGCTACATCACAGAGGATGTCATCAAGATCCAATATTCCTCCATCTCCATGTTCCAGTCGATGCACCTGTATCCAGTAGCTTGGATCCTGTACAAATGAACAGAAACATCGAATGCACCAACTTAGCATCACCAAAAGGAAAAACAATAATTTAGACTGCAAAAACCTCCCATTTTTAAAAATGAAAAAAAAAAAAATTGGTCCCATCAAACCTATTTCAAGTGATGTAAAATTCAGGTCTCTCCCTATGTGCTGTTGAATCAATTTTCCTTTTTTTTTTTATGATGGAGTCACTCATACATACTCTTTCCTTTGGCTCACATGCTAATACACTATTGTGACAGGAACTACAGAAACCAGCTAAATGCACTGTGTCAGAAATACTGATTTCTCTAAAGTTTGCCTGGTTTCCTATTATCCACTTGTCAATCCAATCCACAGAAATATTCTAATAAGTAACACAGAATATGCCTAAAAAGCAAATGTCACAGCATATCTGAATAAAAGGAGGTGGCACATCCTGGTTGCTCAAAGTACTCCCTGCTAATAAGGCCTAACACAATGACATGGAATAATGTAGACAAGACCATAAGTGAACAACACAAGCTCAGAACAATGTGTGTGCTTTCAGCCTATTCTGTAAGTGCAAAATTATATATACCTTCTATATCTGCACATAAAAATGTATGTGCATACTCATATACATATATATGTGTACATGTACACATACACATATACACACTAAAAAAAACATGTTTTAAAGTTATTTGGAGACATAGTTGTTTGTTTTTCAAATTCCACAATCATTCACAATTGTATTCTCAAATAAAGATGTACTAAATTATCTTTTACCTTTATCTACTGAATTATCCACAACACAGAATTACATTAAAAAGTTCAAGTTAACAGCCCATTTTTCCAATTTAAAGTATGGTTCTTTCTTAAAGGAGAATCTGGGAGAGAGGAGGCAGGAGATTAATCATGGTTACAATACACATTCCTGGACCCCACCCCAGAGCTATTGACTCAGACTGCCCTTCCAAGGCTAGGCCAGGAAACCCACATCCTTGAAAGGTCCTCCAAGAGAATCTCTCACAAAGCCACGTCTAAGAGTTAGTCAATTGGAACACTCGTGGGAAAAAAAAAAAAGCATAATTACCAATTCTTGTCATTTTTTAACCAGCACAGCAAGGAGCTCAAACCTTACATCTCAAAGTTACTAAATATTGTCAGGAAAACTACCATGCAAATGACCTATAGTTATTCTGCTCCCTAATCTCCCTGGACTTCTTTAAAAGGAGATTCAGTACTCACAACACAAAGAAGTTTATAAAAGCATCCCTCTTCATTCAAGAGGCCCTGCTCTGCATGATCCCCCGACTCTGATGTCATCCAGAGAACTCTTAGGAAGAGTCCTTAGGAACTCTTAGTGCTGTGTGAGTCTAAGAGTGTTCCAGAATCTGTCATTTCTAGCTTTTTTGAGCCATCAAAGAGCAAAGGCCCAAAGAACCTATATTCCTATTCTTCTGTGCCAAATGGTATTAACTCTAAAAGAGAAATCAATATCCCAGGAATCAACAAAAAAAAGATACCCCTAACCATCATTCCCTCACCACTTAGAATACATCATCCTGCTCTCTTTCCCGCCAAAGTAAGCTGTGGATGACCTAATCAACCTAAGTATCAACTTTCATTTCTAAAATACTTTTACACGCACAGAAGCAAACTGACCTCTAAAACGTGGCCTTAGGAAAAAAGCTTTAAGCTTCCCAGTCTTCACTCTCTCCATATGAGATCATAACCTACAGCCTTTATGTAAGATTTGGAGCTAATCCTTTAAGATTTCCACCTAAAGATTTTCACAACCTCTTCACTGTATATTTCATAACCTATGTTCCAGCCTTTTCCCCATCACATCCCCTGTCACAGCCTGTATTAAGCCCTGCATAAGTGGACCGCTGCATAATGCCTCACCTCAACCTCAAAGCTAACCCTCTCCATCCATCAAGACTACTCAGTCATCTCCTTTACAAGCTCTACCTGACCAGAACTCCAAGACAGATTAGAAGTCTATCTCTGACTTCGCAATATAGAAAATAGTACTCAGATGTCAACTTTCAGCCATTAAAACTGTTAATTTTTATTTTTATACATATTAAAATAACAGTACAACAGCTTCTGTTGACCCTACTTAACCATCTATTTACATATCAATTCTCTGATCTTCTTTACAGCAAACTTTTTTAAAGATTCCTTGTCACAGATTCTTCTCCCATAATCCCATGCCGCTCAGCCTTCTTCTCCACCACACTCCCAAGACTGTCCACCAACAGCACCCATATTGTTTAATGCAATGGTCCCATACACAAAACCTATCTTCCTGGTATATCACAGAAGTTGACACCACTGACCATTCCCTCCTTCTTGAAATACGCTATAAATTTGGCTTATATTCCTAGAACTATCTGATCAAGGATTGTCTAATTTTGAGATTTAATTGTTGAGGGGACCTGATTCACTGGTCAGTTATGCCAAGTAGACACGACAACACCATGCAAAAGCACTTAGCAAGTTGGCATTTATTAAATGCCACTCCATAATACATGCTGAATGGAAGGAAAAAACTATTTGGAGAGAAGGAACCAAGAGGAAAATCATCAGTAATCCCAAATGAACATATACTACACACAAAAAAGTCAGATCTGAGCAGGTCACATAAAAATGATCTCCTCTCACCAAGAGTATAAAAACTAGGAAGAGTACTTTTGCCATTGAGAAATACACTCCATGGAACAACAGTGTCTCAGGTGATTTTAACTGGCAGCTCTTGTTAACACAATTTTCTCTGAATAAACAAAAGACTGGCTGTATTTTCAAGAAAACAGTCAAGTACCCATCAGGGAGAACTGTTTTCTACACAAATTAGAGCATGCTTATTGGTCACACTTTGTGGTAGTTTATACTAAAAAATTTGAAACAGTGCAATCATTGCTATACTAGCTACAGAAACTTAGAAATGTAATTGAACAAGAGGTAAAGTCACTTTAAAAATACCAAAACACTAATTCTACAATCAGTATACTCGTCATTAGGTAAAAAACGAAAAATGATGTTACCTAGACAGGCATTGGGGAGTCTTCCCCATTGGCCAAGATGGCAGCTGGGGAGGTTCTTCCACTGAGCTCTGAAAGCTAGAAAGATGAATGGATAGGGCCTGAGCATGCAAAAAGCTAGCAAGATAATCGGTTAGGGAAAAAAGGCCTTCCTTTCCTATCTCTGGAAAAACAGAAGGCTTGGTCTTTGATGAGGGAGTCCACCATTCTCCCAGGTTGTATGGCACCTAAATAAAACCTCTCCTTTTTGCACCAGCACTTGCCTCACAAGTTTGGCTCTTGTGGTGGCAGGCAGGCAAACATCTCTTTTGTTTGGTTACAATGACACAACACTCAGTTTAGAAAAGAATGTTTCTCACTTAGGATGTGTGTATTTAAAATAACCAAAGATTTAAACACTAACAACAATTTTACATTATGATGAACAAAAATCCATCAAACATAAGCAACAAACAAGGAAAGAAGTTCATCTGCCAAGCAGCTGGAGAGAAGTCTACCAAGAAGCAAATGTCCCAGTCAGGTAAGGTTCCCCAAAGATGGATCAAAGCCCAGAGAAGGAATCCAGAGACAAAACCACCTAAGAACACTGTTCCTCACCCAGACAAAGAATGGGCTGGGAAAGGGTGGAGGGAAGATTTCTGAGACCTGCTGAGAAGGAAACCATAGGGATTTGATAAGCTTCAGCTTAGAAGGAATGCTGATATCTACTCCACTGCAGGACACACAAGACACAACAGTACAGGAAAAGCCCTAATACAGGATAATTCCTATACCACCTTCAAGAAAGCTCTCATATTCCAGACAGAGAAACCTCGTATTATGCAGCAAGATAATGAGCTTTTATGAGTTGTGGCCTAGGTAATACAAAAGTTCTGCATATTTTATGCCCCAGCAAGTTTTAAGAAAAGTACCTGCAATTAGAAATAATGCCCCACTCTTGCATTATCATGGCATACAGCAATGATCTGTATCATTGTATGTGTAATGCATGTGTAAACAGAAGACCAGAGAAGATAAATGAAAATCCACGCTGATCAAAAAAACTGAGTATATTCACTATGTGCAAAGCACTGACTGAAGGAAGGAAAAAGCAACATTCATTACCTACTCTGAGATATTAAAATTTATCAGATTAAGACACAAATAGTTTAAAAGAGGTAAACCACATGTCATAAGAAAAACAGACATTAAAATGCTATGTGAGTTCAGAAAGGGGGAAGATTATTTTCACTTGGAAAGAAACAGGAAAGGTTTGTCATGAGGTTTTAGCCAAATGAGATCCTAACAGCTAAAAAGACTGAGTAGACTCATCAAAACATCAGAATACAGAAAACAGAAGACCAACCAAAAAAAAAAAAAAAAAAATCCCAGAAAGTAAAAAACAAGTCACCACAACAAAGGGATAAGGAATCAGAATGAACTTGACCTTCTGTATGATAACAGTAAAATCTAAATGATAATGGAATACTGACTTCAAAATTCCTAAAACAAACAGTCTACATCTTAGAACTGTACACCTCACCCAACAAGTATCAGTAAAGGGTGAATGAAGGTAGAAAAAAAGACATTTTTAGAAATGCAATGTCTCCAAAAAAAAATTACCTTCCCTGTGCCTTTTTTGGGTTAGTAATGGAAGGTGTGCTTTAAGAAAACAAGGAAACCGTGCATGAGGATGGTACATATGAAAACAAGAACATAACATAGAGGACAACTCCCAAAACTCCCAGGATGTCAGCTGTGCCACAGGTTAGGAAGGTAACCCATCCAGACTGGAACAGAGCCAGAAGTTCCAAAAGAGATGTCTTCAAGGTGACAGTGTTGAATATGACTGATCATACTGAGATGCTATTTTAACAACTGTCAGAGCTGTGGTGGAAATAGTTGTATATTCACAGAAAACCAACCAAAGGGGAAAACATTGTTCATTCCAGGGAAAACAAAAGTTGTGAAAGAAAGAAAAAGTAATCAAGGTAT